GTGGATGGATGGATGGATGGATGGATAGATAGATAGATAGATAGATAGATAGATAGATAGATAGATAGATAGATAGATAGATAGATAGATAGATAGATAGATAGATAGATAGATAGATAGATAGATAGATAGATAGATAGATAGTCCCTCGCATTTATCGTGGGGGATCTGTGCCCTGACAACCCATGATAACTGAAAAACCAGGAATACTAGTACAAGTAGTAAGAAAAAGTTTATTTTATATATATATATAAGGTATTTTAAACCCTTCCCACACTCTTGAAATATTCTAAACAATGTTTCTAAACGCTCTAAAAGAGCACAGAATGTCATAATTTCTTCTCCCTGACTCCTTTGCTCCTTGCCATCTGCAAGCGCTCTTGGCCACGCCCACTTCTCTGCACGGTGAACAGCTGATCAGCTGCAGCAGGAAGTTTATCCTGCAGTATGGGTTACACAAAGGTGGAGCAGATGCTAAATAATTTTAAATAATTTATTTTAAATGAAAATTCCATGCATATCGTGTGGCTCATCTATCAATCAGCCAATTGTGTGTCCTGTTGAATCTTATTTTGAAAAACCGTGATGGGAGCGAGTCCACGATAAATGAACTATATATATATATATATATATATATATATATATATATATATATATATAAACATACATAGGTTTGTCTTGCTATCTTTATGCTGACTTTGTGTTGTCTTCCATTCATTTCCATAGCTTAACCCTGAGCCTTTCCCTAAACCTAACCATTACCAGTGCATACCTAACCCTAAACCTAACCCCTAAACCACCAACGACACTTGAACCTTATAGAACCGGGCTTTGGTCCTCACAAAAAGCAGCTGGTCCTTACAAAGTACAAAGTACTAATGGTCCTCTCAAAGTAACATAAAGCACACACATAGTATAGTTTACAGTAAAAAATGAATAAACTGATGTTGCTGTCCTGACTATGGTATGGATCAATGGCAAAAAAGTATGCTTAAAATAAGGGTTTATATTTTATTACGTTAATGTCATGAACAAGAATGTACAAATTTTCATCAGTTTGTCTTGTAGTCAATAGAAATTATTTACTTTAACAGATTCCTTGATGGAATTTATTCCCAAAAAAACTGAGAAAATACACAACTCTCTTTTTTTTTTTGTATATCCTTATTTATGTTGGACAGGTTTTGACCACGTCCATGTTTGATAGTAATCATTGTTCCAGTCAGTCAAATCTAATTTCTAATGAATTATTTTAATTCTAATTGTTAAATGGTGGCTCATAGCCAGATATTATGTTTTATATTGTTATTTATAGATTTGCAGAAAGTGAAACTGCCGTGTAAGACAGTCTAAAGGGAAAGCAAACTATAAAAAACGACAAACCTGTTCTGTGGAGCTGCCTGTTTTTCTGGTTGTATTTGCAGATGGACTCTGATGATCAGGATTGTAAGAAGCTGCAAAGCAATGAGAAATCTGGATCTGGATCCTGTAGCGTAACGCACTGAGAATTAGGCTGCTGTGGAAATAAATGATTAATCCCAAACCTTGGAGTTTGTCAAGTTTGAGCAAAGTCAACCCAGCTCGAGTCAAAGTCCTACTGTAGCCCACAGTTCCACCAACAAGAATCAGTACACTCAAATGCAACATTACTGCTGAACTGAAAAAACAGGCAACAAATAAAATCCTGATTTTTGTATTGTTTGATGTATTTTTTTTTCTCATGCTAAGACCAAAGCTTCAGTATGATCTCAGCCTAAAGGGGTGAAGGCTGAAAATGGGGTTCGGCTGTATTTGTATATATTTGGAGAAAATTCACACAAATGGGAAATAATGATGAAATATTTTATTTGTAGGCACCTTTCTTGGCACTCAATGTCACCTTACATGGTCTAGCATGAAAACAGACACAATATTATATGCATAGTAAAAAAAAAAAAAAAAGGTACAAAATAGAATTTTAAAACATACAGTGCGGTTGCAGTAGGTGCACGGGGAACAAGGATTGGGTGTGTTGCTCAAAGACACCACGACAGGTGGGAATGGCTGGGGATTGAACCTGAAGCTTTCAGGTCTCGAGTTGGCTGCCATGCCTCTACTCCAATCATTCATATATCAAAAGGTTTAGCTCATCCATGAGATGGGGGCTATGCTTTTTGCTTTTGTAATTTATACCCGTTTCACATTAAACTTTATTTTCAAATACTTTCTATCATGGAAATACATTAACTTTCTTTGAAACATTTCAGCATGCTTACCGTACTCTATTTCTTTCTTCTTATGCTACCTTGAACTGCTGTTTTGCTACATATAGTTTTGTTTACGCTTGTGCTTCTTTTAGTTTTTAGCTAGCACTATGCTACTTTTGGCTTTTAGCTACAGTTTGGCTATTTTTAGCTTTTAACTAGTAAAACGCTAGCTACCCATTAGCTACTTTTAGCTGGTGTCCTGATTAAATTATCTGCATTTAGTTACTTTTAGCTACAGTTCTGCTACATTTAGCTAGTGTTTTGCTATTTTTATCAGTTAGCTAACTTTTAGCTACTTTTAGCTACCTTTCTGCTACTTTTAGCTTTTAACTTGTGTTTTGCTTCTTTTATCTGTTAGCTAAACTTTTGCTACTTTTAGCTACAGTTTTGCTACTTTTAATCAGTAAACTAACCTTTTACTACTTTTAGCTACAGTTCTGCTTCTTTTAGCTAGTGTTCTGCTTTTTCTATCTTTTAGCTAGCTTTTTGCTACTTTTAGCTTTCATGTATTCTTCTGCTACTTAAAGTTTTTAGCTTGTCTGCTACTTTTAGATTAACGCAGTTTCAGCTTATTCATTAAATTTTACCATATAACATGCACAACGTATTTTCACAAAACTGTTTAACAAATAGAAATGTTTATTTAGTTGCCTCAATTTGATTAATAAAAAACAACAAAAAAAACCAAACAAACTAGGAATGTGGTTTGATTATATGGTACATCTTCTTGCCATAACCCCTAAAGCTCATTTACTCGAACATTCAAAGTATACCATACTGTACTACACCTGAATATTAACATTTTATTTTTTATTTAATTTTATTTTTTTGTGGTGGAGGTTAAATAAGGGTAAAAGATGGAAGGGGGGATCTCCACCTCTCCCTGCCGTCCGTTTTTAAACACACGTGACGTCGCTTCCTCTCTCCAACATGGCGCAGGAGGCAGGTTGTTAACGGCGAGCTGAGGGATTTACCCCACCTTCTGTATTTATTTATGTTTGCCAGGACTGGACTCTGCGGCTGACATTTCTGAAGGAATACATCTCCATTCGAGGCGGCTGCAGCCCCCCCTCAACCCCCCTGCCTTGGGTCCGGGCAACTCCTCGCTCCAAATTCCGTCGCGACATGTATGAGGGGAAAAAGACGAAAAACATGTTCCTCACACGAGCTTTGGAAAAGATCTTGGCCGACAAGGAGGTGAAAAAGGCTCACCATTCCCAGCTGCGCAAAGCCTGCGAGGTGGCTCTGGGTGAGTTCGGTTCTTTTATCATCATCACCGGTTCTGGACTCGGGACTCATTGATTTAGACACGTCATGCACCCTTAACCTGGCAACAGTGTCGCAGTGTTGGGCAAGAAACGGTGTTTGATGAACGTTTAAAGCCGCCGTGCTGCACTGTAATCCAACAAAATGAGTGTTTTTATTGACGTGGCGTGGGTTCGTTTGAAATGATTCCGACTAAAACACGGAAATGCTGCAGGACGGGTGGGTGTTTGCCCTGACTGAGCCGAGGCTGCGAAACTAGTAGCAACGTAAAAACAGGCCGATCATCGTCCCAAAACTATTTTATTAAAAGCTATGCTTCTTCTAAACACCTGCACGAGACACACATCCCGTCTACATGATCGTCTGGTTTGAGCTACAGTCGTTTAATTCCTGGATTTATACATGTTTAACCCCTTCAGGTGAGATGTTTGCATCTCTTCCTGGAACACGGTGTTGTGTTCCTGCTTGGTCATCGCAGGGAGTCTTTGTTTCTTTTATTTCACGTATTCTTGATTTACCATTTTAATCTGTAATTACCAGGGCCTTGTTTTAGCTTTAATGTGTGGCCACGCTAGTTAGTAAGGAACATGAATACTTGACACAGTAGCACCTTTTTTTTTTATATTTAAGCTAGTCAGTTGAGCGGTTGTAGCAATTGGATTTCCGGTTACGATTTAGACAATAAAGTTTCATTCAAAGCACAACATATGGGAAACGTGCTATGCTAACTTTAAGAAATACGTTTTAGGTTTATGTGCAATAGGTAAGAGTGGAACAGATTTTGTCTTCCCGTATAAAATGTTTTTATTTTCCTTTTCGCCAAGGGCACGCCGGTTGCTTGTTCAGTTGTGGCTTTTATTTTGAAATGCGGGCTTTTGTACATCCGCTTTCATCTTCGATTAATTTTGCTAGCTTTATGAAGCTGTTAGCATGTTTAATTTGCAATTCCTATTTTTTAGGTCTTTAATGTTTTTATATATACACACACAATTTTTGACGTATTTATTTTCCATCAAAACATGGCATTTTATTATTTACAAGTGGTTTTGTACATTTCCTTGAGATTACATTTGTTGTGAATTGGTGCTATATAAATAAACTGGATTGAAAAGTTGTATTTTATTTATAGATGCAAAGTCGTTTTTTTAGTCAGTCTGCTTTGTGGCTTGCACCAAGTTGGGGCTCTTATTTTGTGACAGCAAGGGCAGTAACATGACACTGCAAGAGTGAAACAAAGAGTCCATGTTATAGCAGCCAAGCCTCCTACCTGTCCTGACAACGCTTCCATTATTCACATCCTCAGAAGATGCAAGGTTTTGCAGTTATCCAGATGGCTAAATACACCACTTGTGCGTTACTCGAGGCTTGTTTAGCTATTTTCCTAAACTAACCCACCCACGCTTGCATATTCAGGGTTATTTTTCTTTGTCCTACAGCTACAAAAATTGCTAAAGGTTTGCCTGCATTTCCTTTGCACGTGGAGACAATATGCTAATTTTTTTAAGCGTTACTCCACTGACCATTTTTTTAAGGTTAAAGACTTGGAATGGGTTTTGTTGGTTTTTTTGCAAAGCTTCTAAATTAGCCACTCTGTGTCAACTAGAAAATTAGAGCTTCTGGATGTCTGATATAAAACTGTTATGTTGTTTCATGTTTATGATGCAGCACCTTTTTTTTTTTTTTTTTACAGTTACTGTATTCATGCAAGACAAAAAAACAATATTCTGGTAAAGCTGTAACTGCAGAACCTGAGTTACGTACACAAATGTATTTGTTTGAAGCTTAGCCATATACATAGTCTGCTAAATGAGAATATCTGCAATTATCGTGCACATAAAAAAAAAAACTGGGTGACCCAGTATACTAAGTGACTTACATAATCTCCCCCAGCTCCTCAGAGTCAGAGACATGCTTTTGTCAGTCTAATTTTTGCTGCTATTGAAAATCTTCCATTTAGGCATTCGTCTGTGTAGAAACTTTTTTTTTTTTGTTGAAAACTTTTCCATCTACAAAACAAGTTGAAAAGCTCTATTTTTGCTAGATCACTCATAGCTCTCACACTGACCTTTTCTCCTGGATTATCAAAATGTCACCCTGCCGTTTCACTTGAAGTACATCCTCCTAGTTTCTTGCATTCTCCCAAGCTGCAGCAATATCAGAGTCTTTTGGATGTTTTTTTTTAACAGACACGGGGAAAGACGTATTAAACATCAACAATCTTCTTTTTTCTTCTATAGCGCTGGGTGCCTCTACATCTTAGAAACGTAGAAACCTCTGAATGCAAAGCTTTTCTTCATGATTGTTGCATGTACAATTTGTTTTTCTTCTTGAGCTATTTCAATGTTGGTTTGATCTCCCTTAACAATCAGTCAAGGAAGGAATACTGAGTTTAGATACTGTGGTGCAACCTCACTAACATTCACCTAAAATAAAAAGGGCATGTCTTTCTTATTGTACAATCCTAATTCTCTCCATAGCGCAGAAGTGGCTTGTAGATTAAAAGCTGCTGTTTTGTAGTATAGATGTCAAAAAATGTAACTCTGAGCACAGTAAAAAAAGAATAGTTCTTAAAATAAGTAACCCATTGGCAAGCTTTTCTTAGCCGTCAACCTTTCAGTGAGTCACACTACCTACTCGCTCACTGAGCAGACACTAAACAACATTGACATCCCATTAGAGTCTTCTCTACTGCCTCCTCTTCAAACACAGTATTCCAATGTAGTTTAAATCTGGTTTGGCCTACATGTTCCAGCAAAGAGAAACTCTTAAACTCTGCTAGATGCTTCAGATTTATGCCTTTAAAAAAAAAATCTGCTGTATTGTTTTGAATGAACACTATGAAACTATACAAGAACTATTGTTTTGGTATCTTGTCCCACGCTGGATCAAATGAGTTGCTGCCTGAGCGTAGGAGCTTATTGTTTCTTGGGGTCTTGTTCACAGGAAGGAAATCGATGAGCACATTCAGGTAGTCAGCCGCTGGGTTGGTGTTTATTAGATCAGAACGTTACATTGACTTGGTTGACTGATTGTTGTCCTGCTCAGGGACGTCTATCTATCGTCTTGCAAAAATATCTGTTGAAATCACAGCGACTCTTTTTTTAATTTCTTACCTATATAGTCAACTTTTTTCAAGTGTTTTGTATTCAAAGCTAATAACGCAAGTCTAAAACTTGTTTGGGACAGCTTTCCTGTTCCCCAGACTTTTTTGTTAGTTTTTTGGCTTACCTCTGATTACTATACGTGAAATAATTAACACATTAATTGCTAAGCGACTAGCTTCATTTTAATTAAATAATTTTAAAATTTGTGAGTTTTTTTGTTTCTACTAGTATGTGTATAGCAGACAGTGTAAAAGTTAAACCATGTACATAAGTAATACACTGCCTGGCCAAAAAAAAAAGTCGCCACCAAAAAAAAGGTCACACTAATATTTCGTTGGACCTCCTTCAGCTTTGATTACATCATGCATTCGCTGTGTCATTGTTTTGATAAGCTTCTGCCATGTCACAAGATCTATTTCCATCCAGTGTTGCATTAATTTTTCACCAAGATCTTGCATTGATGACTAGGCACCAGGCATGATGGGTGCATCACTTCACCAGCCTCTCTTCTTACCCTGATGCACCCATCACTCTGGAACAGGGTAAATCTGGACTCATCAGACCACATGACCTTCTTCCATTGCTCCAGAGTCCAATCTTTATGCTCCCAAGCAAATTGAAGCCTTTTATTCCAGTTAGCCTCACTGATTACTGGTTTTCTTAAGGCTACACAGCTGTTCAGTCCCAATCCCTTGAGTTCCCTTCACATTGTGCGTGTGGAAATGTTCTTACTTTCACTATTAAACACAGTCCTGAGTGCTACTGTTGTTTTTCTTCCATTTGATTTCACCAAACATTTTAAGTGATCGCCAATTACGATCATTCAGGATTTTTTTCCGGCCACATTTCTTCCTCGAAGACGATGGGTCCCCACTATCCTTCCAGTTTTTAATAATGCATTGGACAGTTCTTAACCCAATTTTAGTAGTTTCTAGATGTTTTCTCTGCTTGATGCCAATGATTTGACCCTTCTCAAACAGGCTGACATCTTTTCCATGACCACGCGATATCTTTCAACATGGTTGTTTAAGAAATGAGAAGCAACTCATTGCACCAGTTGGGGACTTGTTGCCAGCTGAAAGATAATCGCCCATACAGTAATTATCCAATAGGAGGCTCGTACCTAGGCTTTGCCAGGTGGTGACTTTTTTGGGGGGCAGGCAGTGTACATGAGTATTGAATGGCTGTTTGGCATCCTGTACCTGACACCTTTTGGGAGATTAACTCAATAACCATCTCATGACTTAAATGTTTATTTTTTTTTATTTTTTAAGCATTTAAAGTTCACTTTAGACCAAATAAACTATTTTACATAGCTTAAACATTTTAGTTTGTCACTGCATTTATAACTCTCTGTTGCTAAATGGATCTCCACCAGCAGTAAAAAAAAAAAAATTACGGTACTTGAAATAAAGCTGTAAACAAAGATCAAATCAGCAAGTGCTTGCAAGCTGTTATTGAGCACAAAACCCAAGGCCGCCTGCGTCCTCCGAGTTGGCAAAGAGAACCGTGCACCTCTGATCATTAGGAATGGTGAATGCTTCTCAATATCCAAAGTCTGTTCCCTCACGATAAGCACCAGGTTATAAATGAGCCTGTCGTTAATTGAGGTTTTGACCATGACTCCCCAAAGACGACTCGGCCTTCCGGATATGTGAAGGGCTGCAGTTGGGGGCAAGCCATGACTCTTTGTGCTTTCACTGAATAAGAAACACTAAGTGATTTGTGTAACTGGAAACCAAGCACTCATCATAACCCTGACTGAATTGTAGCAACCCACTTTTTCAATGCTGCAGAGGACCTGGCGGACATTATTGGGAGGAGAGAGTGAAAAAGGGAAGAGACGGCAGTTTTCAGTGACATTTTTGTCACTTTTGTT